AGCCCCGCATCGGGCTCCCTGCTCTGTGGGAAGCCTGCTTCCCCCTCTCCCACTCCCCCTGCTTGTGTTCCCTCTCTTGCTGTGTCTGTCAAATAAATAAAATCTTAAAAAAAAAAAAAAAAAAGACTGCTAACTGCTGTGTCCTGAACATTCCCTAAGAAAAGGAATACAGAGGAGGCAATGATCTGGGAAGCACTGAGCTGACTTCCAGGACATGAGTGTGGTCAGCAGAAGAACGGCCCCCCTAAGATGTCCACATCCTAGGGGCGCCTGGGTGGCTCAGTCGTTAAGCGTCTGCCTTCGGCTCAGGTCATGATCCCAGGGTCCTGGGATCGAGCCCCGCATCGGGCTCCCTGCTCTGCGGGAAGCCTGCTTCCCCCTCTCCCACTCCCCCTGCTTGTGTTCCCTCTCTCGCTGTGTCTCTCTCTGTCAAATAAATAAATAAAATCTTTAAAAAAAAAAAAGAAAAGATGTCCACATCCTACACTTCAGATCCTGTGATGGTGTGGGTTACACGGCAAAGCAGAATTGAGGCTGCAGATGGAATTAAAATTGCTAATCCACAGACCTTGACAGGGGGAGATTACCCTGGACTCTCCAAGTGGGCCCCATATAATAAGGGTCCTTAAGTGGGGAAGAAGAGGTAGAATAGTCAGTGTTAGCGGGATGCCCTCTAAGAAAGACTTGACCAGCCATTGCTGGCTTTGACGGTGATGAAGGATCGGGAGCCAAGGACTGGAGGAGGGCTCAAGAGCTGGAGGAGGCAAGAACATGGCTCCCCTAGAGCCTCCAGGAAGGAACGCAGGCCTGCCATCCCCTTGATTTAGTCCAGTGAGACCCATTTCAGATCGCTCACTTCCACAACTGTAAGGTAAGAAATCTGTTGTTTTAAGCCACGAAATTGGTAGTAATTTGCTACAGTAGTGAATGGAAACTCACAGAATGAGTCAAATTTGAAGTATCTGTGGGACATTCAGGAGAAGAATGAATGGAAATGTGATACTCTGCTCTGGAATGTGTCCTCCTTTTGGACGACAAGCATCAGGTTAGAAAGCAACATCAGGTTCCCGACCACGTGCCTCCTCCACGTGTGGACTGTGTCCCTTCAGGATGCGGTTGTGCTGTTAGGACTGCACAGGGGAAACTGGTTGGCTTAGCTGGGCTGATAAACAAGGATTCTAAAAATGGCTCTAGATTCACAAAGCTGAGTGTGCTCGTCTGAAGCAAGAACTTCTTGCATGAAAGGAGTCAAGGGACAGACACCCTCACAGCGCGATCCCTGACTTCCACACAAATATTACTTTGTCGTCTCACTCCGCTCACCAAACCACCTCCAGAGGCTCATTTCCACCTTCCTCTCCGGAGGGGGCTGGCCCGGGCTCTCCCAGCGGTGGCCAGCCCCTAGCAGTCCCAGCTGCTCCAGTAGCAGCATCTCTGCTCCAGGGTCAGCCTGTCAACGGCTGGAGTAATTCATAGTTTTGCTCTTCTTTCATTAAAATGAGTGGAAATGAGAAATAATGTGCTATTATCCATCAAAAGCATAAGGCTCACAAAAATTAGTAGGGCCGAAGATGAGAGCCGTTAGGGGCCAATCCTAAGTTAATCACCTAGGCAGCCTGCTGTGAGAGAGATGAACAGAGCTTGCCAACGAGACCAGTCAGAGTGGACATTTACTGAGCACTTCACATTCATAACCCCACCAGACCACTGAGGTAGGTGCCAGGTTTATCCCCTTTATAGATTCTAAAGTTTAGACACAGAAAGTTTAACTTGTTAAGGAATCTCAGCCAGTTAAGTGGCAGAGCCAGGATTCAAGCCCAAAGAACCTGACTCTGGAGCCCAGCCTTCTCCTCCCCTGCCCTCCCATCACACGACGCCTTCCCTGATGTCAGGGGCCTCTCTGACCTCATCCTTCCCTGAACCCCTCTCCTCCTCTGGGTCATCTCCTGCTCCTCTCCCTGTACTACTTTGGTCCTGTCCACACTGGCCTCCAGGACATGCCAGACACTTGCTCTGCCTCAGGTCCTTTGCACCTGCTGTTCCCTTTAGAAAACTTTTCTCCCAGATACTCATTCTCTCACCTCCTTCAGGTCTTATAAACGTCTCCATGAGGCACTCCCTGACCTCCTCTAAAAGGACTGGGTGCTCTGTCAATGTATCCTGGGAAGGCCTATCCTGGATATGGGAGGCAAACGGGCTGGTTGAAGGGAAACTTCCAGGTCCCTCTGAGCTGGGATCAGGCTGCGCATGGAGGCCAGTGAGGGCGAGCTGGGTTTTAGCACTTCTGGAGACAGGCTGATGGCCAGGAATTTTAGTTGCTCTCTGCACAGTAACCCAGTGCATTGTGGTTGAATGTTTGGTGGATACGAAAAGTCAAAGTCTGGCCTCAGAGGCACCATGGGGAACGAGGTGGACAGGCCCATCCTTCACTAGATGACCAGGAGCCCTTCACCCTTGAGGCTTAAGGGTGGAAGCAGGACGACATCTGGGCTCCCAGAATGGTCCTGTCGTCAGGGCCACATTCCCTGGTGTAAGGGCCACGTCCTGGTGGCATGATGATAAGGCTGACCCCAAGTTCATATACCACATAGGCATCCCCTAGCCCTCAGAGATGGGGAACTCTGAGCCTTGCTGGCCTTCCTTGTTAAGCTGGTGGGGCTCGTGGCACCTTCTAACCCCTTCCATGGCCATTATAGATCTTGGACATTTACCCCACATGTGCACATGTATTCTCATTCAGGATTCAAAAAGCCTGGGGAGAAAAGCAGTACTTTCATAAGGAAACCGAGGCTCAGGTCTACTGACCTACACATCATCACACACTAAGTGCTTCTCTGGGCCTCAACTTTTGGCTCCAAGAACAGTGTTCCTGTCAAGGACACACATGGGCCACTAGCACACGATCCATTACAAACCCAGAGTCAGAGAGTGCTTGTATCAGACTGTGACCCCAGAATTCTCAAAACCCCGTATTCAATAAGCATTTCATGTTGATTAGGGATGACTCCCCAAACGCCTCTGGGGGCACGCCATGATGCTTCCCAACCAGCCTGCTTTTGAGGTAGCTAAACTTTTATTCACTTCCAGTGACCTTCTTTGGTAGAAAAGGCAAGTGCAGTTATATCCATAGGTCAGAATTTATTTCATACCACCTCGTTTATAGCATTTTCAAGGACAACGTTCTGCTCAACAGCATTTACACTTGAAAACAGAGAAGCACAACTTGGTAAGGCACCGGGTTACGACAGTCTGGGGAGAAGACCTTGCCTTCATTTTGGCTTGTGCAATACCTGGGTGGTTTCTCCTGAATTCTGTCAAGCACAAAGAACAATTTTACAAAAGGTTCATTTCCACATACATGGTAAAAAGTGATAAAACAGGTGGGAAGTATATTGTATTTTTCAATTATGACTGACCTACACTGTAGGAGTTAAGCTAAAGCGGCATTCTCTAAAGCACAACTCATAAAATCTTCTCTGCAATACCAAGCTGCAAGTTTAACAGTGTTTGAGCTTTGAAGTGAACCAACTTTGTTTAACTCAAGCACATACTTTTAAGAACTCTTCTGCTCAATCACACAAAGAAAGAAAAATGGAGGAAAACCTGAAGTACAATTAATCATACGTACTTTACTATTCTATAAACTGCAGCAAGATGTTAAAAATGGTTGTTTAAATGTCAACCCTCTAGATTTTTAGCGCTAATGGTTTGGGTTGTATCAAGTTGGGTTAAAAATAAACCACCTGAGGAAAGCTCTCAGAACTGGGCCACACAGGCACGCTCCCCTGCCAGGTTACCACCAGTGGCCCCCAGGCAGAGGGGGCCACGGCCCCCGCCCCAGGGGGACCAAGAGCAGCCCCATTTGCTGTCGCGTGCATAAAATTTCTTTCAAGTCTTGTGTTCTATCTTAAAAATTACTTTGCACTGTACTCCATGACATTTGCTGAAATAGAAAAATACTGGTTAAAATTACTCACCAAGTAAGTCTCCCACCACTCCCACCTCTGCACCCCAGAGCAGGCGGAGCCCAGCCTGGGACACTGGCTCCCCCACAGACAGGTGAGCCAGGCAGGCTTAGAGTCTGTTCGGAGCATTTCCACAAATGATGTAGTTTTATTCACTCAGGCTATGTAACTAAATGCTTCGGGAAACTATGACTGATACCAATTTCAATAATGAAAAATAGTGAACAATCCATGTATTTTAGTTTTAAAACAAAGAAATCCGTTAATTTTATTTACTGACACAAATCAAAGAAGCCCCTAAACCAATCTTTTACTTCTTCTATAGGAAACATAAATTCGCTTTTTTAAATACAAAAAAGACAATGCAAGACCCACAGAAAGACAAGACTTTTCCATCCACCGGCTCTACAGAAGTTTCCGTAGTTATTGGATTGATTTTGGTAAATCTGCTTCACCCACCGCAACCAGACATAATTCGTGGGGTAGGCTACCTTTTGGCATCTCAGAAGCATAACCATCACAAAGTAAACAAACCTACTCTTCTGATACTCAACTTTTTTTCTCAAGATGAAGCCCTAAAAACTGCCATCTTGAAGAACACAAATGTTTCACAAGCATACGGTTTTCTGGCTGTCCCCCCACAAGGATGCAGCTGAGAGGGGGAGCTGGGGTCCATACGCACACCCCGCTCCTGGCAGCCACAGCAGGCCGCCCCCGTGAGCCCTCCGACTCACAGCCCTGCTCTCTGCTGCCCTTTCCCTCAAAGGCATCTGTGGCTTTAACCGGTGGTTTAACAGGTTTCAAGAGACATTCAGTTTAAAACAGGTTTTAAGAGATGTTCGTGTTTTAAGATGGTCTCAAAACTGTGTCAAAATATACTTAAAATTCTATCGGAGTAGGATATAATCAAAAAGAGATCTGTTCAAAAAAGTAACAAAAGGAGGAAGCTGAGTTCCCCTCACGTGTTTTTGTGGTCATGCTTTTTCTCATTAACTGTTTAAAAGTCTGAATCAGCAGCAAATACAGCCATATACGTGTGTGTGTGTGTGTGTGTGTCCATTTTGGCTGACTTAAGGGGAAAAAAAGTACATTTTGTCTCCTACAATCGTTGGCTGCAGGCCTTTCAAGAGTATCCGGGTCCCTGCAGATGGTTTAGTTTATTTAGTTAGTACGGAAGTTTTAAAACAATTCCAGTAGGTGCTCCCTAGTGTTCTAACTACCAGGGTTTAGGCAGTTTGGTGCACACATACGAACAGCAAATACCACATTCTGATCTCAACATGAATCACTCCCTAAAGAAAATACAAGAGCTTCTGACTAACACTTGCTTTACTCCACATGGCATGTTGGCTCTGTTTATATGATGTCAACACAACTGGTCGAAGAATGAAAAATCCCAATAAACAATGTTTTCTTTTTGGTGTACCCAGGGCCACAGGGTTAGCAGGATGTGCTTTGCTGGTTGATTTTAGATCTTAAGCAAGCAGGTATTAGCATATGACAAAAGTGACTGGTTTGAGGTGTTGTAGGCAGAGGTCTCTCGTTTTTTTCTCAGATTTTAGTCCCTTAAAAAGTTTTTTAAAAGTGTGTGGAGTCTTTGGGCTAAGAGTGATTCTCACCATAGCTGGCCAGGCGACATAACGCACTTACAGGAAGGAGCCCTTAATCAAGGCAGGGTTAACCACACCATTTCTTCTTTTGTTCTTCTGTACGTTGTAATGTAGCGAAAAAAAATTTCATTCTTGACACCCAGATCCGAGGTGTCTTTTTCATATTAGATATAAATTAATCCAGAGGTCCAGAGCTCTACATTTCCAGAGTTATGAAAAATGCTCCACTGACTTCAAAAATATCTTGCATAATTAATAATCAGCTCGTCCCTAAGCTCAAACAAACAAGAATATCCAAGGCAAGAAAGAAGATGTAAACTGAGAGCTGGACCTATGACACACACACGCTCTCTACACAGGTTCGGCACGATGAGAGGACTCATTCAGCTAATATAGCTTCTACTGCGGGTTCCCGGCCGGCGTCATACGAAACAGCAATACTTCTTCCACCAGGACTTGGAGAGGTTTTTCATTTTGTCTGGAGTCCTGCTTTTGGACTTCTTTGGCTGTTGCTGAGTGTCCGAGTACTGAATGCCCGCAACGATGGCCGCATCAAAGACCTCTTTGAGGTTTTTCTGAGTCAAGGCTGAACACTCAATGTAGGAGGCGGCTTTGATTTCCTCGGCGCACAGCTTGGCCGCCTCTTCGGGCACGGGCTTCTCTTTGCATTTGTCCAGCTCAATAAGGACCTTGACGTCTTCTCTGAGATCCGACTGAGTTCCAACGAGGATGATGGGGGCTTTGGGACAGTGGCAGCGAATCTCTGGCACCCACTTCTCGCTGACGTTCTGGAAAGAGGAGGGGCTCACCACACTGAAGCACAGAAGGAAGATGTCCGTGTTGGTGTAGCAGAGAGGCCTGAGTTTGTCAAACTCATCCTGCAACCAATCAAAGCACCCAAAAGTTAGCCTCTCAATCAATTCTCATCAGCAAAAAGACCATTTTACCATTTTTTTCCTTGAAAGGGTCTGGCAGGTCCGGTTATGGAAGGAAGGGCCAGTACCTCGGAAAGCGATCCCGCTGCTTGCCAGCCCCACGAAACCTGCCCAGCGCATTCAATGTTCCATCAGTGCTCACGGCCCTCTGGCAACTCACCACAGGAAAAGTACTTACAGTGGGTGAATGGCAGGAAGCAAATTCACTTTCTCCAGCCTTCAGCCTAGAGTACCCCAGATTTACTCTTTCAACTCTGGTACTTAGCTACACTTCTAGAATCAGGGTTAGCAGCCCATGGATCCCCAAGTCTCTGATCTGACCCCAGTGAACCCCAGTCTAACCCAGCTCCTCTCTTGAAGAATCCAGCCCTGCCCGTTCTCGACAGCTGTGAGTGATGCCCGCCTGGTCCCATCTGTGCTGCACACACTCAGGGCACGCACAGAGCACAGAGTAATGTCAATCAGACACAAGGACAGACCCAGAACTGGAGCTGAGGACCTCTGACAGGCCACTCTCCTTAGCAATTCAGAGAGCCTATGCCTCTCAAAGTCACTTACAACAATGTGACTTACAATGTCACATTGGTTAATACATTCTCATTCTTGCTTGATATACCTCTTTCTTCTTGCTTGATCTCTTTTTCTCCCTCCTTTCTTCCTTTTCAAACTTCCTTTCCCCTTCCCTTTTCCCTGCAAATACCAGGGACCTCCATGCAGCTTTGAGAAGATAACCAAGCATCATGCTGCTGAATACCTGCCAGAGTCATCCACTTGGCAGAGATGCGTGTTGGCCACTGGGCACTGTGCAGGGCCACGGGAGTCAGCTGGGAACAGACAGACCCGGCCTCAGTCCTTGTAGAGACGTCGGCCTCCAAACCAGCATTTCTTCATAGTCCCCTGCAGTGCCCTATTCAGTGAACTGAAAGCTTTCACTCAACTCTCTCATAGGAAAATATTTACAACATCTCATTCCTATTTAAAATTTCTATCTGTAGGGGCACCTGGCTGGCTCAGTCAGAAGACATACTACTCTTGATCTTGAGGCCTGTGAGTTCAAGCCCCACATTGGGTGTAGAGATTACTAAAAAATAAATAAGTTAATTAATTAAACTTTTAAAAAATAAAAAAATATGGGCGCCTGGGTGGCTCAGTCGTTAAGCGTCTGCCTTTGGCTCAGGTCATGATCCCAGGGTCCTGGGATCGAGTCCCACATCGGGCTCCCTGCTCTGCGGGGAGCCTGCTTCTCCCTCTCCCACTCCCCCTGCTTGTGTTCCTGCTCTCGCTACCTCTCTCTCTGTCAAATAAATAAATAAATAAAATCTTTAAAAAATAAATTAATTTAAAAAAATAAAAAATAAATAAAAAATAAAAAAATAGAGTAAAATAACATTTCTATCTGTGGGTGCCAGCCTCACACACGTGTCCTGTGATAGATAACTTCCCAATGGCATGAAAAAGTGAAACGCCATCCAGGTTTTCAGTACGCCGCTGGCATACTCTGATTATTTGCAAACTCCTATTTACATGCACAGTATCCTGCATCTGTGGCCAGCCGTTCTGGAGGTGTAAAGGAAACCTGGATCTGTTTTACTTGAAGGCACTTTCATCATTTGAGGCTCCACAGTTCAGTTGTAGGGCAACAACCAGCTAACAGTACAGAAGTCAACCAGCTCAAATGCTCAGGAACGAATCTGGCGTTTCGTCACTGCCGCCTGTCAAACTTCTATACACGGTGGTTAAAAAAGAACAACCTGGCTTTCTTAGTGCCAACTTTGTGCTGAAAGAATCGACATAGAAACACCACCAGGTCAACGATGGCCCAGCAAAGATCTTGTAATAAAACATTCCCTCTGTTCTCAGAGGCCCCAGAGTAGCACAAAACGGAGCCCCACGTAAGGTCAGCTCCCTCAGGCAGCCGCAGCTCACTGTTAGAAGTCAGTCACCCTTGGCGGTGCCCTGCGAGCTGGGGTTGCATTACCAATAAAAAGAAAGGCAAGCGCAGGGGCTGGGCCCTGTGACAGGGCTTTGGAAATCCAGCTCCCCAGACCTCTTGAGATTCTGGCTAAAGGGTTCAGGGAGCCAAGCAGAAATCAAACCCTCCTCCTCACTGCCTGACCAGAAACCCTAGATATTTGCTGAGATCAACACAACATACATCTGCGTGACGAGGCCAATTGGAATGTACCCTCCAGGAGAGGTGTTCTGAGGCCCAGTGATTTACATGCACCTGCCAGGTCTGCAGGGAAGACATACAGAATTCGGTCAGGGACAGGGTGTGGTGGACAGGCCACTGAATAGTAGTGCTGGTCAAGCTGCAACCTGAGTTTTTGGTTTTTTTAGCACAGAGATTTTTCCAAGTGCCTCATGGGTCAAAAGGCTGAGGAATTTTCAGCTTCTCCTGGCAATGCCACTGTGACCTCCTCCCATTTCAGTGACGGTCCCTTCTCTTATGCCAAAGGTATGTTCTCAACACCGTCGGTCTCTGATCTGTTTTCACTTGAGTAAGACTGTGAGTCCAGTGTTAAAAACTCCCTTTAACACCTTCTATGCTCACCTACCTCCCTAACAAGAAAACCCAAAGACACAAAAAGCAATTTCTAGTTACTTATTCAGCCAGTAGAGCCATATTCTTGCTCTGAGCTTCCAGATGAAAAACCCGCATTTGGGCCCCGGGTTAGGGCTACCTGTGCTCATGCTCCCCTGGAGCTGGAAACAAGGTCGCACAAGTCACTTTAAGCATATCCTGAGGACTGCCTGCAGGGCCAGGGGGGCGGGTGTTTCACTGGCTGAGTCATCATTAGGGAAATATAGCAGGGGTCAAACCAAGTCCCTTAAAAGGTTGTTTATCAGATCTGGACTAAGGAATAAGGAAGGTGGGAAAGAACTACCACTCTGACCAGCTTTGCTATTAGTCAAAATAAGTCCTAACGGATACTTGGAGAGTAGGGGAAAAAAATAATCTTATCTTACCAGCTGTGTACTTTTCATAATTTTTGAGGTTGGTTTATGCATTCATTACATAATAAGGTATACTTTACTAACTAATACATCAGTTAAAAAATACAGTCAAACCCAATGAAAACATCACCGGGAGACCAGAAGAATAATTTCCAAATAAACTAAAGCTTACCAATTTGCACCAAAGTCCTTTTATTTCCCTAATTATAAACTTTTTTCATGAAAATATCTCCAAAATTATTCTTGCACTTCCCCAGCTTTTAAAACAGACCATACTAAGGAAAAATCGACCTCTGCCTCATTAATTCAGGATCATTTCTACAAAGTTTTTCTGATGATGGTCCTATGCCTCTTTCAAAACTGCCCAGTGGTTTTCTCCCCAGACCCACCTGTCCCGCACCCCAAGCCAACACTGCCTTCCTCCTTATGGCACTTCCCTGGTTTCTTTCACAAGTTCTACTAACTGGTTTATCTTCCCTACAGACTATAAGTCTTCTGAGGGGCAGGCCAGGACTTAAGGTTGCATTCCGCAGGACCCAGCACTTCGTTTTATGTATCCATTATAAACCGTGATTAAGCCCTATTCTGCACCAGGCACCATGTGGGCCCTAGGCCTAGAACCCCAACTCAGGAAGCCGGGTCTCTGACAAGAGTCAACAGCTAACAGGAGGGCCCCATCAGTGGGCAGGGATGTGCTCTGAACTGCTTGCTCCTCCCCTCGAGGGTCCCCAGGAATTGTGCCTTCTGGGCTTCCTGTCTACGGTCTTATTCTTGGGCTATCCAGCTGCCCCTTCTGGCGTTAGCAGGAACGTCTATATTTATCCACGTGCAACTCTGACCTCATTTTAAAGATCAGAAAATCAGACACGTAGTAGGACAAAGGTTCTTACTTTATAAAAATCAATTAAGCTTTCATGACAAATACCAGGAGGGCATTCAGAAAGATTCAATATTAGAAGAGCAGTGTTCTTTTGAGTTCTCTTGAGTTCCACAGGCAGGAAGATACCCAGTGCGTTTGCTTTTTTCTGCTGCCGCTGAAGGGGAAACGGAGATGCTCCAGTGCAGAAGGGGCAGGGCCACCACTAAGGCCACTCTGGCCACCGCCAAACCCGTGCTGAGATGGAGACCAAAGCTACCCAGTCTTGTGTCACCCTGAGCTTTGAAAAATAAACCTGTGAATTTGCTGTCCCAGGCTAGGCAAGCAGTTTGCATGAGGCACTTGGGAATGCTGGAAAGCGAGCTTCTTCAACACAGATGGTGATGTGACAACACCTCAGAAAGTGAGGTGGGCACTTTTATGTGCCTACCAATGCTCTAACTCTAACAAGGACAGGAAAGACTCCGTGTTGACGAACTGTCACTCTGACAGACTCAGGAGGTGGCACCCTGGGTTCGCACGGAGAACAAGGAGACCTCAGTGACGAGCACCGTGCCAAGGGACGGCTGGCTGATGGTGAGTCCCTGGAGCTCGTCGGGGAACATCCCAATCCCCGTCCCTCCCTGGGTGGGTCATCCAAGTGCTTGCCCCTCAAGACAAGAATAAACATTCACAATTTGGAAAGACTAAGTTCAGATTCATTCATTCCCCCAGCTCAGGAGACCTTCGACACTGTATCTCCGCTTTAAAGGATGGGGGTGGCCCTAGAGAATCAAAGCACAGCTCAGGGAGGGAAATACACCCACTGACAAACTCCATCTTTTTTGGGGGTGCCTGGGTGGTGCAGTTGGCTGAGTGTCTGGCTCTTGGTTTCAGCTCGGGTCATGGTATCAGGGCTGTGGGATCGAGCCCCGTGTCCAGATCCACACTCAGCGTGGAGTCTACTTAAGATTCTCTCTCCCTCTCCCTCTCCCCCTCCCTACCGTGCTCTTTTTCTCTCCCTCTAAAATAAATAAATAAAATCTTTTTTAAAAACCTCCATCTTTTTCTTGAGCACATTTAATATTTAGCGTGTTGACCTCTAAGATAATGATTCTATCACCATCTTACTCTGAGAAATGATCACAAAGCATCATTGATAATTTTTAATATAAACGAGACAGTAAATAAGATCAGAAACTCTTGTAAGAACTCCCGTTCTTGACCCTATTGTCCCCTTGCCCTGACCATGCAAAGCTGGGCCAAACCCTGTTTTAGGGGTGCAGAGCTATCTCCCCTCCCCGCCACCCTCTGAGAGGAGCAGGGCTGGGGCCACTTCACGAGCCTTTAGAATGACCCAGTTATGGAGGGAGGTTATTCTGAGGCCTAAGGCCGGTTCCCTTCCCAGCCCTGAGCCGCAATGACCCACTAACCTGCCCAGCAGTGTCGCAGAGCTGGAGTCTCACAGGCCGCCCGTCCACAGACACCACAGCTGAAAAACAAGACGAAAGCAATGATCAGGGGGTGGGTGTCTTTTAACCCCTTTCAGGAAAATAATGCTTTCAGCTGCAACTCCCATTCTCCCTCCAAACCCTTCAGCTATTCTGGGTCCCCTAATGAATTAAAGACTTGCCTAAAACAAGGAGGCCCCACCAAGGCATTTTTGTCTTCCAAACGTCCAAGGCTGGCAATTCACTCTATGGCCGGGGCTGAAGCTGCAAATCCCTGAGCCGTTTGAGGGCACCCCAGAAGGGCCTGCACTTTCAGCCCCGGAAGATTTATTTTCCTGTCACACTCGTTTCAAAAAACCCAAAACAACACTGGGGGGCCGGGGGGGGGGGATGGGAACCAACCTTGCCGTTTTAACTCAGTGGAAAACCTCACAAACAATTCTGTTTTCCCTTGGGAAACGTTCCAAGACTTCATGGTTTATCATAAAATTGTAGCTTGTTTTGAGAACATGAGCAAACACAGGCAGCCTGCATTGTCCTGTTTATAGAAGAGGGCACTGCTTATCTCACCGCGTCAGCTCAAAGGGAGGGTTAACACAGAAAAGAAGGCCTGCCCACCTTTCCACTGGGATCGGGTACTGGGCAGGGGCCTGCATCGGAGCACAGCCGGTTTCTATTTGAATTAAGCACTCAGGTCCCTCTAAGTGCAACTTTCTAAGTTGCTTTTAATGTTTACACGAGTCAGCTGGGAGGGAAAAGGAGGAAAAAACAAAACCGTTTGGGTGTAAACCCATTAGTGTAGCAGCTTTATCAAGGGTACCTTAGAGGTGGAAGAGAGCAAGCCCTTGCCATCAGGACCTTCTAAGAGGTCAAGAAGCATTGTTGTTGTCCTTTTAAGAGCAGAGAGAGTGCTTCACTGTGGATTTTAACTTTTTAGTAAATTTCAAAACCACCTGAAAAATCCTATATCTTTGTTTCCACCAAACCAAAAAACATAGCACACCATACATAAAGGCTGTAAATAGCTTAAAGAGACACTAAGAAACAGAAACGGAGCCAACGGGGGAGATGGAAGAGGGAGCAGTGGGAGCAGGGGAGAGGGACTCGGAAGAAATCGCGTTTACTCTCCAGGTTTAATCCAGACCTAAGTAAGCCCTTAGTGCTCTTTTCACTAACTCAACTATGTTCTGCCGTCTCTGTGGCTCTTCAAAGTGGAGACGCCCCTCCCCTGTGAGGGAAGCCACCAAAAGGAAGGGACTGACTCTCAGGGCCACAGGTAATGGCACCTGCGCGTCACCTTCCCAGGGAAACTCGGCAGCAGCGCCAGCAACGTCGACCTGACGCAACTTTTCTACGCAGCAAACTGACCAGGGAACCTGAACTCGACCTGTTCGTTACTAAATTGCCGTGTCGTTTCTTTCTGCACAGGCTCCGTCTCCCGTACCCCGCCCCCTCCGCCGGGCTCCACTTTTGGGGGCTCCCCGTCGCCCCGCGGTCCCTCAGGTGGCTCCGCGCCTGCCCCGTCCCCGAGGCTCGGGAAAGGTGCCGCGCGCCGCGCCGGGTCCGCTTCCCAGCTGGAGCCCGGCCGGCCCCGCCGCCTCCTCGGGGGCCCGCGACCCTCGCGCCGCGCTCCCTCCCCCCGCCCCGCACCCGGGCCGTCAGCACCGCGCCCGCGAACTGCGGCCACGCGCCCCGGCCCGAGAAGCGCCACCCGGCCCGGCTCACCCGAGAAGTTGTCGAAGGCGGTGGGGATGTACTCGGTGGGGTAGCCGTTGGTGGTGTAGCTCACCACCAGGCTGGTCTTGCCCACGGCGCCGTCGCCGACAAGCACGCACTTG